AGTGATGGTGGACTGGGTCTCACTCTTTGAACGTGACCAAGTGGGGGTCACATGACTCGTGGAAATGCAAAAAATGTGTTTCCATTACACTTTTGCAATACATATCCATTTCAACACGTCTCAAATACCACCTCTTTTTTGCATTATTTGAGAGGTTTTTCGAAAATTCTATTTCTGTTTGCTATTGCGCAATTTGCATTTGCGCATTTCTGAGGGCAACTGAAACACAGCTATTAACATGTTCTTCAAAATAATAGGTTTATCCACATGTAGACAACAATAACTCTGTCCTCCTCACATGCATCTGTCTACCAAACTCGTATCAACTCAAGTATAATCGCTTCCTGTGGCTGTGTTTTTGCAACACTGTGCTGGTGTATCCCCTGCTGATTGAAACTGACATCTGTTTGCATTGGGCCCTCCTCTACAGTCATACACTACGAATACATAGGGTGCCTGGTCACACTCATGCTTTAAAAAAATGACACTGGAAAAGGATAGAAACAAGACATTTGATACTATGTAAGAGCAGTTTAAGTTAGTGTTGGTAAAAATACAGTACAATGTATGAAAGATTTTTGGGGTGAAATGTAGGAAGAGACATTAAAAAGCAGCATCATTACAGAGCATGAGTGAGATACCGGTATTGTCGGATTTACAATTGAACAAACACTTAACAGAAAAAAATAACAAAAGAGACATCCATGCCAAATCACTCAGTGGGTTTAACCAAGTAGATTTAGATTTTAATGAAACCTCTTGTGCTGGTGTATTGTGATGGGATGACACTAAATCGCAAATTTCAGGTCAATCGGAAGAGGGGTTTAGGAGCTACGGCCCATCAAATTTTAATATGTTTAGCAAAAAGGAGCATGACTGCCTTCCTTTCAACCTTTATATTTCAGGAACTATTGGGTCAATCACAGGTATTGTTGCAAAGGGAATCCAACATGGGATCAAAATCTGCAATCATTGTGGTCAACCTTTTTTGACCAAAGATGTACTTTTCAACCAGCCAACCTCTTGTGATCGACCCGTTTCCGCACGTGTGCGCAAATGCGCCCACACGTGTTTGCCATTATTAGCAACAGCAATACCAGACCCTATGATGAACGAAACAAAAAGATAAAGTAGATATAAGAGAAGTCTTGAGTTTGTGAAAAGGGAATCACTTGCTTACCTTAGTAGGAGACCTGACACAGGGGCAGGTACGCATTTTTGTAGCATGTTCAGTGCAGAAATATCACTATCGTAGGGCAGGACCCTCCCCTGATCGTCCCACTTCAAATATTCTTGTGCTCTTTAATTTTTTAAATTTTTTTTTTACTTTATTAAACACTCAACACGGCCAGCTACTCACTCAATCGGTTAAAAACATGAGTTGCTCCTTTTACTATGTCTAAGGAGCTATGAGGAAGCAACGAGGTTATCTGTGTTTTGTGAGAACATAAGACCATAATCATTAGCTTCATCGTGGTGAATAAGCTACAAGACATGCTAATTGCTAAAATAACCCAAGAGTGACACAGCTAGTGCGATTAACACCACAATGAAGTGCTTGGATTGTTTCACAATCGCCTGGTTGAAACCGCTCTGAACCGCTAGCCAAAATCGTTTTTAGCTACTAAACTCTGAATGCTATAAATTCTTACATAGTTTGGATATTTCACTGAAGGAAGTAGTTTGACGTAACTTGAGAATAAACCTGTCAGCTACCACAAAATTACACAAGTATTTCTGTTTATCTGGGCCTGAATCTTGCAAGTGATTATGCAAGTGTGTCAGTGAGACTGGGTGTGCCTACTTTAAAAACAAAATGGCATTCAGGAAGGATGTACTGCCACTGCATACATTCAAAAACAAGCACTAACAAGAGCAAACATTTTGATATATTTTCCCCTTTGCCGTCTACCTTCTTGAGTGTGTGTCTGTTTTGCTATCAACAAGCTCTGTCAACTTATTGCCCGCCACTCAACCTTAGTGGACTTATTGCACTGCTGCAATTTCAACAATAAGCTTTCCTCAATGGCTCATTCTTGGTCACATGTGAACATAGACCAACATACGTTTGGTGTTGTGGTCAAGAGTCAGCATATCCTTCAATGAACAGAAAAAGGCCAAGGATAACATCTTTCAACCTTTCACAATACTGTACTTATTGATGTCAGGAAATGTTGTATGCATGCTAATGCTTATAAACATTCACATAAAAGATAAGTACAGATGAGCAGTTAAAAGACCTATGTAAGCAGCTCTTTTTGCTTTAATGGATGAGGTGACTTAACACAAGGTAGAAAACTTGTTTGACCTGAGCCACCAGATCAGACAATGGTTAAGGTTTTCTATCCAGTGGAAACAATGTTAGTTTCAGCCTCATGAAAGCTGACAGGCGGGTTACTGAATGTTTTTTTCTTATGCACCATGTCGCATGTGTTACTGTGACATAACTAGTCGAAGTCAATACATCCAATTACTAATTTTCTTTTACGCCACCAAATTCAGGAACTATTTAAACAAAATTGTACATTTAAAAAAAAATCCAGCATTATGTTGATCTCGGTTTCTTCTTAAACCCATTACCACAACATTCATGCGTCAGCCACATGGCCGTTGCCAAGGAAACCAGAGGGTAGTTGCAGAGATCCTCTGAATAATTGTGGGTCAATTGAACACGGTAGGCCAGAAACATTAAGGATTTCATACCTTTTTTCTTGACAGTGTACGGATATAATAATGTACCGGTAACTATAAATTTTAAACTGACAGATATAAAAACTGAACACATTGAAGTTAGTTTTATATAAAAAATAGGCAAACAAAAACTTACACTATTACGTCCGGGCGCTCATAATAAACAGGATGTCCTTCTTGAACTCTGTTCTGCAGTATTGAGGGTATATTCAAGTTTAAAGTTCAGTTGGACAGTTGCTAGAAACAAGTCTTGTATTTACCAAATATTTTTGAGAACTTGAGATAGAATGAGGTCGCCTTGTTAGGCAATGACAATAGCTATTGAACACTTGCTTCCATCCCTTGAAACCAACACAAAGTAATCATTAGATGTCTTCAGCCTCATGTATTCCCCCATTCAAGCCTTGGCATGAGGCTTTAAAAAGCAAAGCTAACAGGGATTAGCTTCCAATTTTAACACTTGAATAATCCTGCAATCACACAGGCCATGCTAAGCCTGTGCTAGTCATGTTGTAAATAGATGTAGACTGTTTTTTTTTCTCTCCAATGCGGCTGTCCAACACTTGGGCTGACTTGTGAAAAAGCTGGTCGAAGACAGACAGGAGCAGAAGAACTGGAACTTTACATGACCCAATTCTCGATCAGACTTTTAAAATTATGTCAGTTCTGTTTTTGTATTAAAAATGCAACATTTGCCTATCTATTGTGAGTAATTAGATTTAAGTGTATTCAAGCAGCACCGTGAAGCTTGTGATGAGTAGATCTCCCTCAAAATTCTGAGGTTGAGGGTTTGAATGTCTTGGGCCTTCCTAAATCGAGTTTCCATGTTATCCACACACTTGTGTGGGTTTTCTCTGGCTATTCCAGTTGAGTTACAATAATCTTCTAGAGACCAGTCCAGGGTGTACGCGGTGCTTGAAATTTGATGGACAGCAGGCATGCCATTATCATTTAAGGGTTGCTGAGCCATCACACTCAAGTCTTAACAAATCCGCATGTCTGTCTGACTCCGTATTTTACAGATGGACTATGCGGTGTCTGAGTGTAAGTCTGACTCCCAGACAAGTGTGCTGTCTGCTTGGGGGGATGTGGAATGTCGGCAAGGTGTGTCATTTATCACCTTGTGAAGTGGGTCTTCATTATGTTAAAAATTGATTTAATACAAGGAGTAGGCTACATACAATAACAAAACATAAAAAATGAATGTCCAGTATTTATGTAACTACATGTGTTGATTCAGCATTTGTAGTGTGATTACTAAACACTGACTGAATTGGTCCATTTTTGTCAACATTTCATAGCTACTTTTCCTTACACTCTTGTAAAACAGGTTTTTAGTAAGCAAACAAAACATTATCTTCACAGAAACATACAACACGCTTCAAACTAACAGACTGAGCACTCAGGAAGAGAAATAATAATGTTGGAAAACGAAATTAACAAAAAAAGGAATCAGTTCATAAAATATTGTATATGATGTGAAGACAGCACTAATAAGGCTTCAGAAACATAACAGCCACGTTCCAATGAAATGTACTGTATAGCTAAAACAGAAAACAAAACTAACATTAATCATCCATCGATTTTCGATGTCGCTTATCCTGCGGGGTCGTGGGTGTACTGGAGCCTATCCCATATGACTTTGGGCGAGTGGCGATCGGACCCTGCACTGTTTGACAGCCAATAACAGGCACATTCAACCAATGTTAATTATTCGGAATAAAATCCAACGAAGAACTACTGCAACTAGAAGGGATAACGAGTGGAGGTACTTGTCTACCAACTGGGGCCTTTCGCCTAATTATGTCATCCAGTAGTCGTAAAGCTATCGTTCTTTTTTTATTGTCATCACAGTGCTTCAAATGACTATGGCTCAATCCAAACGTGGACAGCAGCAAAGACATTAAGACTATATGCAGACAGAGATTCTAAACAAGAGAGCGCCAGCTGGGCACATAAGCCCCCTGCACAATACCTCCAAATAATCCTTTACGAAGGGAGGTGGAAAAGGCACGGAGGGGTTGTTGTGTACAAAGACATACACTCCACTACAAAAGGTACACTCGGTCCAATTATGGTCACCTTAATGCCGATTTCACCCAGGGTCTATGCCTTTTTTTCACCCGAGAACAGCATTCAAGTCAGTGGAATGTTTGCGCTCAAAATAGCAAGACATCTTATGACAATTGAATCTCCTCAACATTCACTTGCCAACAGAAGCTGCGCATAGTACAAGGACATAAAAAGGGGATTACCCTGAATCGCATCAGGGACGAGCGCAGCATATTAATAAAAATATTTAGATTTACCTTCCATCATGGTTGCAGATTTGCATTCCTCTACCTCCAAGGAGTCTGATTCGAAAGCGGGAGATGTGGGAGAAGAGAAGAAGAGACTCTAGTTACTGGAGAGCTTCGTCGGAATTAATGGACAGCAGAACGGCCGTGTCCGTGGCTAACGCCCTGGCTAACAGTGAGCCTATAACACCCCCAGCAGTCGGCTGTCAACTAGCCAGGAAGGGAGACATACAAAGAGCGAGATAGAGAGAGAGGAGGTGGAGGCCCGGTCGGGTCGGACGAGCTGCAAATAAGAGCAAGGGGCGTTAATCCATGGATGCTGCAGCTGCTGTGGTGTCGCCTGCCTTTGGTGCTACTGTGGCACTAATACATTCAGCAGAGGATGCTTAGAGGAGGGGAAAAAGCAAAGAAGAGAGAAAGCGGGTGAGGGAGGGAAGAGAGGGTTTGTGGGTGCATGACTGTTTGGAAGGAAGGGGGGAGAGGCCGAACCATGTTGATGACGTCACACGCTCAGCCAATCAACGCGGCCCTGTGAGGAGTCACATGGCCTGCAACCTGACTCATAAGAAAGCTTTGCTTCTCGATAAATAGCGATCGACAAAAAATACGAAATGCATCGCAAGGACCGCACGCGCAATGTAAGAAAAGTGAACACACATGCGCTGGGTAAATACAAAAATTAGGTCCAAAGGAAACACATGCTTAAAATGGCTGCTGCTGCACCCAGCCTACCTTATTTTGTCACTGCGGTGTGCTGTGCCTGCCCAGTGGAGAATGTCAATTATTTGCTCGCAAGCAGAGAATAACTGCTTTTGGGAAGTTAGTAACCACCCACATTTCGAGCGCGTGCGCACAACACACATTGCTAAGAACACACAACACAACAGAGCAAATATTGCTCCATGCTCAGATGCATGCTGTCTACAGCTGCTCCAACGCGTCCGCTTCTGTGTCCCGCCCGGGTCGGAATATCGTTGTTGTTACATTGTCTTTCTCTGTTCGTCATTTCACGGCCACGTAATTTTCTTGCATCGATTGCTGTCTTTGTTTTCCTACTGCACTGGGATACGGATTGATTCGCATGACTGTGACGTCATGACATACCGAGCTTTGACGGAAACAAGCAGAGCGACTGAAAAAAAAGCAGAGCGACCGCTGCGAGGATGAAATGGGAGGGACATTTTCGTATGCAAATTATTAGTATGAGATGACGGACAATCGGCAAATTAAGAAAATTGACTGGAAAGGGAATGACTGCAGTAGTCTCTTTTTTTTCGATCATTCGTTTTGTTTTTGTTCCTGTCATGTACAGTCTCTGACACGAAGCCTTTTTGAGTGGTGGTCGCGAGCCACATTGTGGTGTCCCTGTCAGAACCTGTTGGTCTACTAATCCTGCATATTCATGAGATGACATTTGATATATTTGAATGACTACATATACGCATAGAATAATTGTATAACTGTCTCATACGCATCGATTTGGGGAAAAGAAAAAACGTTTTTGAATTGTTTCATGACAAAATATTGACAGATTACCTGTTTTTTATTTTCAATTTTCATGTTCATTCTTGGAGGCACGCTCGACTGGTTAGCACGTCCGCCCCACAGCGCAGAGAGGGGCAGGGTTCGATTCCGGCCTTCCTGTATGGAATTTGTATGTTCTCCCCGTGCCTGCGTGGGTTTTCTCCAGGTTCTCAGGTTTCCTCACACATTCCATTTGGTGCCAGGCCGCACAGAGACAGGCCAAGATATTTTTGTTTCTTTGTTTTTGGTGGGCGCCAGTCAAACCGTCCCCGTCCCCCCAACACCACCCAAAGGGCAAAATAAATGGGGCTGGGTGATTATTTGTCATATAATCATATGATCGAGATTCGTGATATTGTGTGACTTTGTGATAAAAAGTCAAGTTACACCTAGGAAAAAGTCTAATAGAAAGGCATTTAAGTATGCTGAGCATATTATGACAACTTGTTCAATCATTTTGCATTTTAAGACTTGAAAGATGAACTCATGCCAAAATGTGGGATGCGAGACAGTTCAACAGAGGCTATTTTTCATATATTTTGATCAACATAAGAAATTCAATGTCAGTCATAGAGAATTGTACATACTCATTTGCATAGGTGTGCCAAAGTATTTGCAACTTGTCAAAAAATTGAGACACTGCTCTTTTGATGTGTACAAGTGATACAATGATGTCAAATTTGATCTAACAGTTTTGAGAAATCCAATTCTGATCTGAATAACGTACCTAAACACCTGAGGAAAAAAACTGTAATTTGCCGTCTAAATGTTCATAGTTAGTCGCTGATGTGTTGTGATACATTCACCTGACTTGTGCGTAGACAGCCTGGGATCGGTTCATGGGCGTGAATGGTTGTTTGTCTCTATATGCTCCCTGGGATTGACTGGCAACCAGTTCAGGGTGTAGTCTGCCTTCTGCCCGAAGTCAGATGGGATAGGCTCCAGCAACTCCCCATGACCCTCTTCGGCAATGCCTTTCCAGATGGAATTCTGTGAAAGGTATACTGTACTCTGAGTGTAATTCGTGACTACATTTCATGATTGCTTAGTGGCTTGCATGGCTTCTCCATTTCTCCTGTTAATTAGAACTCATCCTCCTTTAGCAAAAATGATATTTGTCAAGAGAGTATCTTATTGCCCACAATGGAAGCAGTGATTAGTGACTAGTAACCGTTGAAAGCCTGAGTCACACCGGTGCTGACAGCATAACTCCTCGGTCAGACGTGCTTGAAGCCATTTTTACACTGAGGCCAATGTGATTACATCTTCATCAAGCTTTATTGTTTGGTTGAGTCCAAATTTATACCTTCAGCCAAATTCATACAGTCTGCCAAAAATACCCTACATAATGTGCGTCACAAAAGAACGTGTTGGTTTCTGTGGAAAGAATAAAAGGTCCCAATCTTCTCTGATGTGCTAAGATGAAGAAATTTTGGTTGCAGTGGCAAAGACACTTATAGATGGCAAGGTGGCCGTCAGCTCATTAAACCCACCAACGGGAATATGTACATGGTCTCAAGTCCCCCTCGAGGAAGATTGCATGTTATCCTCCACCACAGACTTTTGCTTTTTTTGTGGATGCCTCAAATTAATCACTTAATTTGCATGAAAATCAAACGTACTTTTTCCTACGTCAAAATCGTCTCTCGAGCACCACTGACACGTTCTTCATCTACTTTTGTCAAAACATAATTTCCTCTGCTGCCATCTAACTGTCACTTTGACTCAACAGCTTTAAATCCTTTACATTTAAAATAAAGGAAGCCTTGGAAAAACACCTTTCTTTACATGTTTTCTTTATTGACATCTGTATCGAACAGTTCTGGATTGTTGTACACGTGAGGCCGGGCAATGTACTTCCACACAAACAACAATACAGGCAAACCAAACTGATGAATAGTTTTGGCGCCATCTCCTGATATCTGTTGACAGTACAAGATTACGTGTGTTGACAGTACAAGACTACGTGTGTTAATTCCCAAAATAGCCCTCTTCAAACAGCTTTTGAATGGCATCTGCAGGATAAGAATAATAAAACAATGTATATTGTAGAAAAGCTTTTATTAAAAAATAATAATAAATTAGTTGTATGCTGTGTAACGCATGGTTTGGTTTCCATCCACCCGGTGGTCTATTTTTACATTGTATTCCTGCTTTTGACCTCTGGGTGGCAGGCACGAACTTTCATCATCAGCAAAATCATGAAATGGTACTCAAGGTGATAGGGGCGTTTCACATTTTGCATCTACGGTATCCCACAAAAAAGAAGGACCATGGTATCAAATTTGGAGGTGCTGATTTTCATTCACACTGGTTTATACTCGGTGCGAACCATTTTAGTGAGAGGTGAACATTTTGCTTTGAAGAAGCCAAGAGAACTACATCATCTGCAAATAGCAGACATGTAATACTGAGACCACCAATTCGGACGCCCTCATTGCCTCGGCTGCCCCTATAAATACTGTCCATAAAGGTTATGACGAAAATATGTGACAAAGGGCAGGCTTGGCGGAGTCCAACCCTCACTGGAAACGAATTCGACTTACTGCAGGCAATGCAGGCTAAACTCAGTCACCGGTCCTACAGGGAACGAACAGCCCAAACTTGCATCCTGTACCCGAATACTCGAAGGAACATTCCCCACAAGATTCCCCGGGGTGCACAGTCAAACTTCTATTCCAAGTCCACAAATTACATACAGACTGGTTGATTGCCGTGGCTAAGGTCCATCGCACACTGAGTGATGCGGCGGAACTCCACTCAACATTGGCGCCGGGGTTCTGCTGCAAGATTTCACAAGTGGCCAAGTACCGGCCACTCGTTTTTCAGCGATTCAACATTTGAAACGCAGTTACACAATGTGGCGCTGTTGCAAATTATAGCCAATCAAAATGGATGGAAGATTTCACACAAGCATAAAAATCCATTTATGGTTCATAAGTCAGCGCCGGGACACAGTCACACACCAAGTGTCGCCAAGTGATAGAAATACAGTATATACACTACAGTGCAGTAATTGTGTTTAAAACAATATGTAACCAGATTTATAATTTCATATTGTTGGTCAAAACATCCTATGCCACAATTTTGTAAATGTAATTTTTTTTTCAAATCTATCCAATGTAAAGCATCCAATGTGCAAGGGTGAACGGTCAGCGGCCATTTTTTGCCATTATTGGGTCAGAGTTGAATTTGCAAGCATCACGTAGTGTGTAGCGGTCCTTAGATCTGCTTGTTTACTGTGCACATTGGTGCAATGCACATCTCATGCATTGGGTGTGGCCGCCATAGCCCACTTGCATCTGAGGTTTGAGCTCGCAAGTCAAAAGTTGGGTCACTGACTGAATCCACAGCACTCAAAAGTTGGGTCACTGACTGAATCCACAGCACCTTTTTGGTTTCAGCCAATTATTGCAATTCATATCTAGCCTCAGGTGTTTGAAGACCTGATCAATCAACTATTAGTTCCACATAAACGTCCTAATGTTTCATCAGTTATCATGCCTAACTGCAGTACACTCGGCCGCCACTCCGTGTCTCGGCAAATGATAACAAATATTCAAGAAGAGGATTCAGGAGTAAATAATCTGACAATTTTGTCGAAGCTTTAACCGCTCGGTTTCAAAAATCTAATTCTGACTTGAATTACATCAACATCAAACCTGAAATGCCACATTGATTTGAAGCACCCTGTTAGCCTTTCGAGGTATGCAGGTGACTTAAAAAAAATAAAAAATTTAAAGAAACGGTGAGTTGAAACAGATCTGTTTCAACTGACTGGTGAGGAGCATTGCCGCTGATCGCCGCACATTCAAGTACGTCAAGATTCCTTGCGAAAAATAGCATGCACAAACATAATCCAATGCCCCATTCAAAGGAGGTAACCCCATCATGTTTATATGACCCAATATTGGGGTACAAAAGGGGTAAGTCTTATTTGTTTTTTGTTTTACTTTTTAAACAAGTTCATTTTTGGTACTAAGAACTTCATTAAAAGAACTTCGATTTTGAACTATGAACTGAATGAGTTCATAGTAAAATTTGCGAGATGAACTTTGACCTGGTTGGCGTAGAAAATGAACTTTACAATCACTGACTGTATAATGCCCTATTGCTTCAAGTCACAGGCAAGTCTCCTTGATATTAACCATGAATTATCAAATGATGGTGTGGTGGTGTGGTTTGGAGAATATGTATCTTAAAGACAAATAATATAAATTCACAAGGCTTGTCGTATTTGTATGCTCCTCCTCCTAGTCCCTTGTCTCCTCGAAAAAAAACAAATCTACGTTTCAATCACGTTATTTGCTTTATTTCATATCCATGATAATGGTGTATAGCGGCACAATCATAAAATAAATACATAAATAAATAAATAAGAAATAACATTTGAGTCCAAATTGAGAACTAACTGTCCAGTAAAAATAGTCTCAGCGGCAACAGACTATTTTCTGCCTGACAAGCATCAGCCTCCTCAGGATCATCAAATAATTAGTCAGTGGGTGTTGTTTGTTGCGGTGTGTATGTATGTTTCTGTCCCTCTGGGCAGGGCAA